TCGATGGTTTGCAGACACCTATTGACTTCTTCGAACAACTCCGATTGGACGTCGTAGTCGATTGCTATGTCCACACAGCGCTGGTACTGCTGCCAGTTGACACGATGATAATTTCGCCGGGAAACTTGAAAACTATTGGCCGAGGAACCTACTTCGGCCACCACCGAGCTCAATTCCTGATAGGCGACAGGTTGAGAGATGTTATCGCCAATGTTGCTGATGAAGATTTCGATGGTGTATTTATTATTGCCATACATCAACAGGCTGGCTGTAGGCCAAATGATGTTAATAATACTAATTATAATAATAATAATAGTAAAATTACATGTCAAATAATCACAGAAAGAAAAACAAAGCAACATGGTCAGAGTGTAAAAAACATAAATGGAAATACACTAATTTTCTCTGTCAGTCACAGCGGCCTGCGAAAACAGATGAGAATCTTCGACGAAGCGCATCACGTGTGAGGTGAAAGTCGAATACAGATGCGACTCTGTTGAACACACGCTGTAGTCCACAAATCGCACCATATGCCCCGTAGTTCGTGCGACGCAGTGGCAGTCTCAGCATAAGGTTGTTACGGAGTGGTCGGGGTTGCACGTTTAGGTCAATTTGCCTCAGGATAGCCTCACAATCTATTCGTGTATTCTGGTGTCCCTTCTAATCCGGAGAAGTTCAAGGTTTATCAGTTGGCAGTGACTCTCGTAGCTGGGCAGCCGAAGCGGATCTCTCCAGGGCAGTCTACGAAGCGCAAAACGAAGAAAGCGACGTTGAACAGATTCGATTCTCTCGGCACCATTGTTGTAATTCGGATTCCAAACCGCAGAACAATACTCAAGCGTCGATCGTACGAGGGAGCAGTAAAGAGATTTTAAGCAGTAGATATCGGTGAAATTCTTAGCTATCCTGAAGATGAATCCTAAAGTCCTAGACGACTTATCGATGACATAAGAAATGTGTTGCCTGAATGTTAGCTGTGAATCCAACACCACACCCAAGTCTTTCACCTGATTCACGCGTTGGAGTGACGTTCCAAGCAGGTCATAGCTGAATACAATCGGTTGCTTTTTTCGTGAGAACGTTATGGCAGAGCACTTTGCTGGGTTCACTACCATTCGATTTAAAGTACACCAACTGGCGAAGACATTAAGCTGATGTTGAAGATTGTGGCAGTCAGCGATCGAGCAAATTCGTAAAAAATATTTTGAGGTCGTCTGCATATGATAATCGAGGTCCTTCGATAACCAGATTCACGTCGTTGAAGTAGAGAAGAAAAATCAACGGTCCCAGATGGCTTCCCTGCGGTATACCTGATGTGGCAAAGAAGCTAGCTGATTTGCAATCTACTATAGCAACCATAAGTTGGCGACCAGTAAGATACGAACGGAACCAACTCAAGAGATTACCGCTCACCCCAAGCCTGTCGAGTTTAGCAATCGCAATGTCATGATTCAGCTTATCGAATGCCGCGGATAGATCGGTATATATAACGTCCGTCTGTACCCATTTAGTCATACTATCGGTAATGTAGGATGTGAGGCATAGCAAATTGGTGGTTGTAGAGCGACCGCCAGTAAACCCGTGTTGACCAGCACTCAGATACTGCTTGCTGTGAGAGAGCAACGGTTCCATAATAACAAGCTCGAATAGTTTCGAAACAGCACTCTGTGACGTAATTTCACGATAGTTATCCACGGCTCGCTTTCTTCCCTTTTTGTGGACAGGAAACATGTGTGCAAATTTTCAGGAGGATGGAAATATACCACTGGAGAGGGACATACGGAATAGACGGTGAAGTGGAGTTAACAAGCAAGCAATATGTTTCTTCAAAAATCCGGACGGAACTCCATCGGGTCCAGGGTTGAAGGACGATTTGAGCTGCGTTGCAGCGTTAGAAATCATCTCAACGTGGACATCAATTGCACCCAGCGTTTGACCATTTAGTGGGATGTTCCTGGCTGCGAGGGAAACATGGTCGTCACTTAGTCTCTCATCAATGAACACACTGGCAAAATTGACAGAAAAAAGGCGGCAAATATCCTGCGGAGTGGAAGCGACTTCACTGTTCAATTCCATTGACGATGAGAGGCCAGATTCTCTGCGTTGCTCGTTCACGTAGGTCCAGAAGGATTTCGGGTGTAGTTTAAGGTTACGCTGAATACCTCGTTAAAATCGCAGAAAGCATCGACGACTGGCTCGCTGATACTCGTGATTAAGCCTCACGTAGTGAGTTTCAGAGGAAGCGTGCGATACTTCGTAAATCTTCTCAATGCTGCTCTCTTGGTCGACTTCAACCTACGCAGCTCAATCGTCTGCCAGGGAGGGTGAGAGTCTTTGCGGTGAATTCTTTTCGGGACGTGTCTGTCAATGACATATGCCAAGACATGAGAAAAAGTTTGCGCAGCGGCCTCAACGTCGTCATGATCGAGAATGTTCTCCCAGTCCATGTTTGACAACACATCTACAATGCTTCGATGGTCGGCCTTTCGAAAGTCATAAGAAACCGCAGCAGGAAGACTATCGAAATCACGAACGAGATTGTCCTCAACAGTGACAATCAGAGGAGGGTGGTGCGGAACAAGCTTAACTAGTGGACAAGGTGCTGTGGAAATGAACGGAGCATTGTCATGAGTGCTCACGAAGCAGAGGTTCAAACTACGGTTGTTCTCGTTGACTACGTGGTTAATTTGAGCAAGCGTTGCTACGCTATAGTTATCAAGAAGGTCGATAGCTCCTGCATGAAATACAGAACGTTCTGGATCTGGATAGAGGAAGCCGTTATGGGATGGTCTCCACGAAACGCCTGCTAAGTTAAAGTCCCCAAATGGCCACTCCCCCTCCCTCGGAGCTGGTGCGATCAAGCTTTATGATCCGAAAATCGGGCAGGAAGACGTTCAGCTCGGGCTTCAAGTAAGTCTCGGTGATTACGGCTATGTCGATGTACCGTTCGTTGAGAAAGTCAACAAACTCGATGTTTTTGCTCCAATTAACAATCTTGATGGCTTCATGGTCCATACTTAGTGACAAGGGACAGGGCAGCATTTAGCCGTTTAAATTAAGTCTTGCAGGCACGCATAATGATGATGACCTCGGCCACGAGCGTCACAAGTTCCTCCGAGGTGAACGGAGAATCGTCGACAGGCTCACTTCAGACAGCACCAGCGTATGATAAACCAGAAGCGGTTGAGGAACCTGGAATTGGCTGGGCCGCAGCAGCAACGAGACGATGCTGAACTGTCCGAATGTTGGGAACCATTTGAATACTCACAGGTTGTTGAGCGGAAGCTGGGCTAGGTTCGGAACATGTCGACGGGACTGGAGAGCTGGGGACAGGACTTCCATGAGTGCAGGAGGTGACCCGGTTGATTGTTGATTGTAGCCTTCCGACGGATATTCATGAACTCAAATCGCTTGAGATATCTGCGATTGAAGGCTTGGTGGTTTCCACCGCAGTTGACACACGTTGGCTCGATGTCATCATCTTGCTCACAGGACGCAGCTGAGTGAGTTCCAGCACACTTGTCGCAGTTTGTCTTCATATGGCAGTTTTTGGTGCCATGACCGTAGGAAAGCTAGTTCATATACTGCGTAACATCACAATGTTAAGGTTTGTAATGCTCCCAATTGATAATGACCTGAAACAGGTCCCGGATTTTTGGATCTCAGAGCCGCAGGTCACGGAAGCTGGTGTTGTGGTTGGAACGCCGTTTCGTCGGGTACACCACCTAAGGCTTGAGCCGAAACCGCTCCAACTCGGATTTCACCGCAGCCGCCTCGAACGACGGTAAACCACCTTCAGTAGCTTGCTCGATGGCAGATCATGCGTGAAGAAGTCCACGTTGTTGTCCTTCAGGAAACATTCCATTTGTTTGTACTCCTCCAGACTGGAGCACATGATTTCGGTACTGATGCTGCAAAGCTTAAAGCGAGGCAGCAGCTTGTGTTTTGTCAGTTCGGCACCCAGCTTGGCAACATCCTTCACCGGCGTCAAAAGCGGGGGAATCCGTTCGCTTCTAGCAATGGGAACGGCGTCACCACCGCCATTTTCTTCGGGGAATACCGCATACTGTTGTACAGGCATCGAAAGCAGGCTTGCTTCCACTCACTTGCTATAAACAAATTATTTTCGGAATTTTTGAATCATTAGATGTTATAGTGATATTTTGTACTTGTTATATAGAAGAAGAGGTTGAAAAGCAACTGTTTGTCACACAAAAGCTGTCAAATTTGCTTTCAGCTAGTCACAATAAGCGATTTTACGAAACGCGAGCGCTCGCTCTGAATGAACCCTCACGAATCATGAAATCGCTGATTATGACACTATGAAAGCGAAATTGACAGGTTTCATGTATCAAACACATACTTTTTAAACTCTTCTTTTAACTTATAAGTACAAAATATCATAATAACATCTAATGATTTTATAATCCGACAAACATTCTTTTATAGCAAGTGAGTGGAAGCAACCCTGAATTCGAAAGCTTAAGCAAATATGCGAGAAGCAATAAGCTTGAAATGCGTAGAAGATGAAAGAAGAAGTGCTGCCTAAGCGTCCACTAAACTCAATTTAAAACCAAACATACGTCGAAACAGTATCATGCATACATTTAGAGTCCATCAACGGAATAATCAGAATATCTAGGTGTGAAGATCAGTTTAAACCAATGGACTGAATGTAAACGATAACTGAACGTCTGCAATTGCCATTCCAAACAATGTTTCAATAATATTATTTTATTATCGAACACTTCCCACAGTGTCATCATTCATTTATTTATTGCTCTCCAAAATCACTGCCACCAATAATATGAAAACATAACGTTAAGCTACGTTACTTTACATTTGTATCATTTCCAAGACCTAAACCTTTCCGTAACGCATCAATGAGATAGCTACCGGATTCTTATCAGTTTATTCCGAGAGTAGATAAGACCTACCGACCGGTAGCGGCTATCGATTTCGCCATCCATCGACTTAGGAAATGTTCAGTTACTGTTTGACAACGAACTGCGGTAGTAACTTCCGAAATGTTGCTGTATGCATTTTACTTTATCGCGATTGCAATCGGTAAGTTGGATATGCTAATCTCATTCCACGAATCCACGTGATACAGATTTTTTTTTTCTTTTAGCAACCATCTACTCGCAACCTTTTAATGGTACGGTTGCACAGAACGGAACGATCACAAATGTAACTCACATTACCCACATCACCCATGTGCACACCGTTGTCCCTCCTCAAAAAGAACCGGCGTTTGATAAAACCAATTTGACGGTTCCCATGCCCTTCGATTCTGGGAATAATCTACCACCGCTTGCAATGGTTCCCATGCCATTCGATTCTGGGAATACTCTACCACCGCTTGCAACGGTTCCAACTCAGCTCCCGGCTAGGAACTACACGAACGCCACGATGCCAATACCCTTCAACCCCCGCAATGATCTACCACCACTTGCGTCCACTCAAACATCGATCATTTCCGGCATTCCACTGTACAAAAATCCACACTATGATTCCTCTGGAAAGCCACTGTGGTTTCCACGAATCATTGGAGGAACTCCAGCAACCCTAGGTGAATTTTCGTCCAAAGTGTCGCTGCAGACAACACAGAATTCGGCTCACTTTTGTGGAGGAACTCTACTCAGCATGAAGCATGTTCTGACTGCAGCTCACTGTGTCAGCGATATTCAAGGAATCCCGATGAGCGTTACCAGGGTATGACTGAAAACCCAGCATTTAACTGAAAATTCATCACCCTTCTTTACAGATTCAAGCCATGGCCGATGATTTGAACGTGCTCCCGAAGATGGGAAGTCCCACTCGTCAAGTTCGTCAAGCAAAGTCACTATCCATCCATGACAAATACAACCCATCGACCCTGGCCAACGATATCGCTCTCGTAAAGCTAGTCAGTGAATTCATGAAAACTAATTCCCTATATCCGTCGAAGCGTGTCTCCAGTACACCATCAGCCGGTCAACTGTGTGCTCTTGCTGGTTGGGGTGTAACCGCTGAAAATGCACAAAACATCAGTCCTTCGCTGCTGCGTGTGAATTTGGAGGTGGTTTCCTTCGAGCACTGCAACGTGGCCTTCCAGGGTATGTTGGTCAAGGGGATGATGTGCGCCAGTGCTCCGGGGCGTGATGCTTGCCAGGGTGATTCCGGTGGTGCCTTGATCTGTCAGAACCGGGTTGCTGGAGTGGTTAGTTTCGGTTCCGGATGTGCCCATCCCAATCATCCTGGAGTTTACATGGACATAGCGCATTATGAAAAGTGGATTGGAAAAGCGCTGAATGGAGCTGAGAGGGGGGTGCAAGCGAATATGTTGACACTGTTGGTTGCCTTGGTAGCTGTGGCAAAACTTGTGTTCCATTGAGAAATGCCATTCGCCAAAATGTAGAAAAACGCGCTGTTTGATATAGATTTTAGTTCAAAATGATAATTGAAAAGCTGATAAGATAAGTTTCGTTATCAACCTACAGTGTTACGCGTGGATGTTGTAATTGATATAAATCAGTGGCAATCGTTATAATTTGTTTAACAAAACCTCTTTAGATAAATAATAAGAACTGTTATTCTCGAATAAATTATTTTGGCTTAAAGTAAACCATTCATTTGAATAGAGGCGAAGCAGCCTTCCGCTGAAAATCTATCTAATTAAAATACAAATAAACCATTCTTTTGATAACACCAAACTTAGCGGCGCCGGTAGTGTAATGGTAAGCGTGATGACCTCTCACCCCAGCAGGCCTGGGTTCAATCCCAGTCGGCACCGCTGGGATTCTCTGAGGCATAAACTCTCCGATCACGTCTTCCTTCACGCGTCTTACCTTCACGCATGATTACCTTCGGAAGGGAAGTAAAGCCGCTGGTCCCCGGTCCATGAGTTCATGGGTTAATATGTAGGGTTCAGATGTGGGAGCTGCCTCCTTGGCGTCGGTAGCATTGGTGCTCAGCACGGAAAACAAGATCAAGAAAAAAATCCCAAAAATTTTGGACGTAAAATCACAGATTTGTTTATTTATTTGTTTATTTGTTATGGTTGCATCAACAGACTAGAAATAGTCCCAATGATGTGTTGTAAAAAAAAGTACAGATTATACAGACGACATACATATACTACAGTTACTACCGTTAAAAACGAAAATAACTAGGAAAGCATTGTCAAGTTATTAAAAATTTATAAGTCTTAAATTTTACACTTAGCTGTTGAGCATCAAGCGCCTTTGGTCAGTAAAAAAGGCAGAGAATCTTCGGCGAAGCATATTCCGTGTCAAGTGGAAATCGAACATCGACGCTACTTGGTTGAACACTCGCTGCAAGCCGTAAATAGCGCTCCCTATGCTATAATTAGTTCGAAGAAGTGGAAGTCTCAGCATAAGACTGTTGCGTAGTGATCGAGGTTGAACATTAATGTTCACTTGTTGCAGAATTGCTTCACAGTCGATTCTTCCTTGCAGATGACGGTAAGTCTCTTCGGATACCTAAGGGCTCGACATCGATCAATTGGCAGCGATTCTCGTAGCTTGGAAGACGAAGTGGGTATCTCCAAGGCAGCTTACGGAGCGCGAAGCGAAGAAAACGTCGTTGATTGCATAACAGTACATAGGTATTTCTACATTTGAACAGTTAAGTTTATCAAGGATTCAACTGAAACACTTACCTTCTACATTGATATATGTGTTCAAGCCTGCGATATTTTGGACTGAAAATTTTTCAACATCCGTACAAAAAATAACGGTTCGTATGAGAACATAAAACAGAGGTCTCAAATAGTCTAGTCAGCTAATGCAGGGTATTGTCTAGCCGAAAACAATGAGTAGGATACCCTGCCGGGTCAAGAAAATTTTTTGGTTTGAAAAAGTTTCCCAGGGCATTAAGTATAATTGCGGTTGCCACACAATTTAAAATAATGCCTTAGTTGGCATAGAAAGCTCTTAATTAATCAACCGTGGAAGTGTTACAAAGAACAGGAAGTTGAGAGCAGGCACAAGCTAATGTGAAGCGTCAAAAGCGAGGAATAAGAAGATCAACATATACTTAGTTTGCATTCAGCTGTCGAAGCAGCAGCAGTTATTCTTCACGGTGTCGATCGTGCTATCGGCAGATGTTTACTTATATGCAGCTCGGTCAGTACTTTTGTTGTCACCGTTAGCAGCAAAAATGTCGACAGTAATGGTCGAAATAAAGTACTCATTTTGTTTTGAATATCCCAATGGAAGTGAGAAGCCCACCATGGGCGAGATTGCAAATTTCGTGAAATCACTGGACGCGAATCTTGTTGACATAGACCGAATGATAACCGAGCCAAATTGCAACAGGGCAGCTGTCCAGGCGGAACGCTACGGGGGGGGGGGGGGTGGCCACGTAGAATTCGTACGAGTGTACGATGTACCACCGGAGGTGCCAGATAATGATCTAACGTTGGTGCAGAGGAAATATGGGAGAGTGAAGCGTGTAATTCGGGAGAAATTCCTTGCGGAGTTGTGCCTCGACATATTATCAAATGCGTGGGGTGTATTCATTGGCACGTGAAAAAGGAGATTCCTCCGTCGCTGTTTTCCTCAATCGGAGACCTCGGTGGCGCTATGACGAACCCTGAAAGCATCGAAAATCTCACAATAAACGCAGCTGCGTCAGCAACCACCCCGAAAACCAGGAACGAAGAAACGAAGAAGGCAGTCAAGGCCCGGAGAAAATCCCTTCGACGAGTCAAACGGCATCCCATCGATGATCTGGATAGGGAAAACGCGCTCTGTACCTATCGAGAACGGCACAGCCAGTGTCGCCAATTGGTCCGAGATGCCAAACAATCCAGTTGGATGGACTTCCTCGAAAGCATAAATGCCTCACAGTCTTCGGCGGAGCTTTGGGGGAAGGACAACGTCCTCGGTGGCAAACGCCGTACGGCCACACTGCATATACAGGTAGATGGCGCTGCAGTCTCCGACCCCGCAATCATTGCGGATAAGCTTGGCGACTACTTCGCTAAACTCTCTGCGATTTTCAACTACGACCTTCCTCGGCTAACAAACCCATCGACTTCGTCCGTAAGCAGTTTTCGAGTTTTTTCCGGACACGAACAACCTGTGGATCAACCACGATTTCACCTGACAGGAGCTTCAGTTCGCGCTTAGTAGAAGCAACGCTGCTCAAGAACCTGCCTACTCCGGGTTAAGTAAAAATTCTGGAACTCTTCATCCAGATTTGGCAGACAGACTCGTATCCAGAGCATTGGAGGGAGAGCTTGGTTGTCCCCATCCCAAAGCAAACAAATCGACACGGGACGTGGCAAAGTTCCGACCCATTGCGCTCTCCTGCTGCATGGCAAAGGTGTTTGAGCGGATAGTCAACCAACGCCTGAAGCAGTTTCTCGAGTCTGGCCGCCTTCCAGACCATCGCCAACACGCATTCCGGTAAGGCTACGTATTTTGCGACGCAAGGAGAGCTCCTCAAGGATGCCAAAGATAACGGTTTCCATACGGAGTTTGTTTCCTGACTCGCAAATCCTCCCGAGTCTCGGTAGGTAATACCAAATCCCGCACTTTCTGCGAGGAAACTGGAGTTCCCCAAGGTTCAGTAATCGCTGGTAGCCATGAACAGTGTCTTCGAGCGGTTACCAGCGAACATCTACATTTTCGTATATGCAGACGACGTGCTAATCGTAGCCACAGGTCAAACTCCGGGACGAACAAGGATTTCCGCCGTAGCCAGATGGGACGCTTCGAAAGATTTTAGCAGTCTTTTGGAAAGAGCGCTAGGTGCCACGTTTGTCAGTACCGACATCGGGTCTGCGGACCTTCCATAAAGATCGGTAATCAAGCCATCCCATTGAATATAACTGTGAAACTGCTGGGGGTTGTCATTGACCGGTCGCCTTTTTAGACCAGCACCTTCAAGGGGTCAAGGCCAGTTGTCGCAGCAGGATCAACCTCATCCGCACAATCTCCCGTACCCACCGGTCCAACAACAGAGAAGTACGTTTCCGTGTTGACCGGGTCATCGTAGACAGCCAGCTGATGTATGGACTGGAGCTGACCTGCATCGCTACCGCAAAGGCAATACAAATACTCGCTCCGGTGTACAATAGCTACACGTGCATCATCTCTGGTCTCCTACCCTCACGCCAGCCGATGCCAGCTGTGTCGAAGCTGACACTCTCCCTTTCTGGTACCGCATCTACGCAGCCATTACCAACAAAACCGCTGCATTTTCAGCAAATACCGCCGAAAACGACAGAATCTGCCTCCTCAGAGAGGGGGGCAGATTTCTCCGTACAATCACCAACACAGAGCTCCCCCCAGTGGCCAAGATTCACTAGTACGGAGATAAGAGTTGGCAATCTCATGCACCAAACATCGACAGCCGGATAAAGGAGAAGTTCAGAGCCGGGGACAATTCCGTAGCCCTTAGGAGATCGTTAGCAGAGCTGAGCGGATTGTCCGAACTACATGCATCGTTACACGGACGAGTCAAAATTGAGAGCTGGAGTCGGAATGGGAATCGCTGGTGAGAGTAGAAGTCTGCCAAAACAATGTTCGGTGTTCTCTGCAGAAGCAGCGGCTGTTCTTCATGCTGTCACGGTTCCTGCGGCTTCGGCAACATTGAAAGCTTAAGGTGCAACATTTTATCATGAAAATTACTCCTTCTTCGTCATCGTCTTCATATTATTTATTTTTTATCATGACTTTTTTAACGTGTCTGTAAAATACATCGCCAGCGTGCATGTCCAAAACATCCATGATCTAAAGAAATCAATGGGTGTGTCGATATTGAACTAGTTAAAATTGACGGGCAGACGTCGATGTGAAGTCGCCAACTAGAGATATCAATGGAAAAGCAGCTTGACATGCGTTACACCTGTCATTTGACAGATTGAAATGGCGAACTTCGCTGGTGAACGATATAGTTAATTGCGTAGTGCTATGATAGTTAATTGACAGTTTAGAGTGAAATTGTACTGTGTGCGGCAGAAGAATTATTTCTCCGTGAGCCCCGCAAAGATTTTCTATCTGGATAAGTAGGACCTAACAAACAATATGAGTTGATCAAAAGCTGAAAAAGCTATTTTTTAGCTGAAGAAGCTTGTTTTTGTCTGAATAAGCTCTTATTCAACATTCAATGTTTGTTGAGGAGAGCAGTTGTCACTGCAGCTGGTTTTAGTTTAAATTACTTTTTACTTTCGCCGTGGCGAGCTATTGGCATCCTTCAGTGAATTGTGGCATTGTACATTTGTTTGTTCGTTTGACTGGTTCTGTTGGGGCAGGCCTGGCCTCACCTGAATCTGTACCTTCCGTGTGTAGCAGAAACTGTGTTGGGAACACCAAAAAACAGTCTTGTTCCAAGGAGAAGAACGTGAACCAGAAATCTTCGAGGAACGGGTGATATGTCACATAACTGGCACGTATTCAATGCATGCAATTAACCTTCTAATAAAAATTCACTTTTTTAAATTTACTATTGCACCCTGACTACATGCGATCTTCTTTATTTTCATGCAAGTCTATCCTTGTCGGGTCGATGGCTGACAGTACATACAACTAACAAATGAATCTAAACTATATCAGGCGATGCCCAGCATCCGATCAACCGATCTATCGGACATTTGAATCCGTCCAAGGTTTCAGCCAATACACAGCATTTACCCCGACGTCCAATTTGCAGTGAAAACTTAAATTTCACGAAATTCAAAAGTTCCATGCGAAGAGCATGGAAATCGGAAGTAGTTATCACAATAGGGGGAATCTTTTCCTTTTTGGCATTAAGCCGATAAAGTTTACTAGATTTTTTCTGGATGATGGATCATTCTCATCATCCGTGAGCAAATCAAATTGATTACTCAGAAGGGGGATCAAGAGATTGCCCTTTTCCTATGCGCTTAGACAGCCATGGCAGCAGTAATTTTTTAACCAAATCGACTTCCAAGCAGATTAGAATCTGAAGGATCGAAGAGGAATTTTTCAAATTGATATCCAAGAAGGATTACCGCGGGTAGGGTCCAAACAAAGATCGAAGAGTAATAAGAGTCAATCATGGTTGAAAATTTGCTGGTTTATTGAGCACTGATAATAGCTGTTTAAATTTATTGTAGCTTTAGGTAGTAGTAACACTTTCTTCAGCAAAACAGATCCGAACGGCAAGAGAGCACGATGCGGACATCACGAAATGGTTGCTTTCCAAAGTCGACGACCAGCGGCGCCGGTGGTGTAGTGGTAAGCGTGATTACCTCTCACCCCAGCAGGCCTGGGTTCAATCCCAGTCGACGCCGCCGGGATTGTCTGAGGCGTAACATCTCTGATCACGCTTTCCTTCGGAAGAGAAGTAAAGCCGTTGGTCCCCGGTTCATGAGTTGATGGGTCGATAGGTAGTGTCCAGGTGTGGGAGCTGCCTCCCTGGCGCATTGGTGCTCAGCAGGAAATCAAGGAAAAAAAAAGTCGACGAGGCATCGATCGAAAGAACTGCTGATGAAGAACAATTAGGAGGAATACACAATGGTTGCTGCCGAGTAAACAGACGATAGCGTGACACAGCTTCTGCTGTGTATTTAAACATGTTCTACAAGTTTTTTGAAGACCACTTTTTTTTGTTCAATAATGTATTTGATAAGGCTCAACCGAATTAACTTTACAGAGTCGAGGATTCTTGGTCACTATACAATACATCGAAAAACTATAGTCAAAAGGTACAACACAATAAAAACTTTATCTTCCGCTATCCAAAAAGCCTCCTCCATCAGAACTGGAGCCGCTTCCAGTGGTTTCATTGTATGGCTATTACGCCATCGTACGGCAAAGCGCTTTCATTGCAGCAATGGACGCAAAACGTGGTCAACACTCACACACTCATCACGAAACGGTTGCTTTCCAAAGTCGACGACCCATCGACCGAAAGAACTGCTGATGAAGAACAATGAGGAGGACCACACAATGGTTGCTGCCGAGTTAACAGATATACGTGTGACACACATCAAGAGTGGCCTGCTTCTGTCGACAGTCGAGTGAACACTGTGAAGACCATTTTCACGAGAAATTTGAAACATTAGATTTAGAATTAATAAACTTTATTTTTCAAGGACACCCTAACTAATTTCAGAAAAAAGTACTCTAATATGAGAACGTTGAGAGATAGAAAAATGTTGCTTTCACAAAGTTGCTTCAAATCAACTAAGATACAGGTTAGGTGAGCAACATGTGTCTTTACTATCATATATAAAAATGTTAGTTTTTGGATATCAATTATTTTGAGAGTCAACCTAATGTTTACAGCCACCAAAAGAAGGGACTTTTAAAGCATAAAAACTTCAGCAAAGATACCAAACGTCAACATATTACAGCAATGGCTCTAGGACTAATATTCCGGCTAAATTCCCATTCTGGAACACTGCATTATAGGCATCTGCAAGACATATTAACCCCAACTCATATGCAATGTGGTGAATCCAATAAAGCCTACATGTCTTTTTGTTTCAGTATACCGAGCCCATCAAGAATTAAATGCGTCTGGAGCTGGTACCATTATTCACCAAAATTCGACAGTTCTTACAGTAATTTATTTCTTTTCATCGACATATCTGTACAACATTAAACGTAAAGTAATTCCACCAGTTCCAACATAAAGTATTTTTAGGTTGATATTTGATAATTTGCTCTAGGCACTCCTGTGCCCGTTCAGCTCTATCGCACTAGCATAATGATTAATGACGCAAACAAAATGGCAACCATCGACAGGTTGAACATGGAGGATCCCCTAAAAAGATTCAAGCTGTTAGTGACCCAAACGGAAAACACTTTCCAACCATGCATATTACCTGCCAATTCCCGGCATTGGAGTGGGACCGGGAGGTGGGTTATCGGAACGGGTGAACTGTTGCTGAATCCATTGATCGTAGTAGCGAACCTGTGTGAAAACCGTGGCCGTAGCATTTGCGGCGCATCCGAAACCAAACGATGCTATACCCGCCAGCCGTCCGTCACAATATAATCCTCCGCCACGATTCGGTACGCACAGCGCTTGAGCCGTGGTGGCTGTCGTAGCGCAAATCATCGGATCACGGATCATTCCATTGAACATGACGTTGCAAGCTGCTCTTCCGTAGATTGTAACGGGTAGCTGCTGTAGAGCTATGCTGGGAACACCTTGTATCCAGTTCCATCCAGCTACTTGACACACGCTATTTTCCGGGATTATTCGGAGCGCCAACTCTGCTGGAGCAATGTGCGGTTGAGCAACAACCGGGAATTGTAATTGAGTTAGAGTTCGTATAACGGCAATGTCATTTTCAAAGGTAAATGGATTGTAATGAGGATGAACGAAGATACGGTCGATTAGCACGGTTGGTGTGGTTGCGTCAATGGTGATAACTCCAGCTCGGATGCTTAACTGATTGGCGGCAATTAAATTATTCTGAGCATCTAGGACGCAACTTCCTGACGTTAGAATGTGATTGTTGCTGAGAATGGTTCCTCCGCAGAATGCCGATGGTCCGATATTAATGCCAACGTGAGAGGGAAAGTTTCCAATGACTGCGGGGGTACCACCCACTAGGAAAGGATTGACATCCACCGATGTTACCGTTTGAAATAACAAGGCTGTAATAAAGAAGAAATCGAGATCAATTCCAGTTTAAAGAAAAACTACCTCCTAGTTTACCTGCGATAACCCACGTGATTCTTGCGTTCCCCATAGCTATGGAACTTATACTTGACGTGGTTGGTTCAACACTAACCGTGCCATATCTTGATTTACTTCAGACAGTGGACAAGCGCACCACCGTCACCAGTTTATCGGTATCTTGGTTAGATTATATATGATCAAAGAAAAATGTTTATCAACTCCCCTGAGAGGGGAATGTCAGGCAAGTCCGGTTACGGTTCTTGAAAGTTCTTGTGTAGCATTTGGTGACCAATAGCGCTTTGCTTGGATGAGTAACTGGAAAATTTCATCATGTTTTGATGTGCGCAATGCACAAATCTGGGCTACTGAAAAGTATAACCTCCTTGATAATAAGTGCACAAGCTATGACGTTCGCATTGTGGGGTAGAAATGTGAATCGTTCAGGAAATTCGGTCCAATCAAACATGTTTGGACAATTATGAAACATATCTTGTCAACATGATTGACTGCTACTGTTTCCCCGATAAGATAACTTCACTACATCTAACATCATTGATGATGATAGAGTTGACAAAATAAGTACTCTATAGTAGCAATTGAGCGAGTGAATGGACGAGATGGCTTCCACCTTGATCTGCTTCATAATTGTTGTCTTAGTGGTTCAACGGACCTATGGTGCCAGACTTCCGGATCCATTGCTAGTCGGAGGAACTGCTTCATCCTGGGGTAGTTTCCCTTCAGCGGCCTTCATTAGGACACCATTCTTAAGCTACTGTGGAGCGGCAGTTATCCACCCTGAATTCGTGATTACCTTAGCTCAATGTGTTTTCAATACAACCACTCAGCCAGAACACTATGAAGTCATTGCCGGGGATTTGAATATTTTTCCGGAGTCCTTCCAGAGGCAAGCAAGGAATGTGCTTGAAGTTATCATTCACCAAAACTACACGGAATACAACCTAAAGAATGACATTGCTCTGCTGCGTGTAGATCGTTCATTCACTCTACCTTCCAATACGGTTGAGTTGACTGTTCGGAGAACTCAAATTGTCCCTAACGGTGCGGTGTGTGAACTTCCCGGATGGGGTATCATAAGCACGGTATGCAATTATATCCAATAGTTTTAACTTTGATCATAAATCATCTTTTCTAAATTCATCCCACAGACTTCGGTTGGTAAGATAGAATCCAGTCAAAAATACTTGAGTCTAGAGATTCTCGATCGTGATATGTGCAACGAGGCCAACAACCACGCGAGCCACGTGCGAGAAAATATGCTATGCGCAGGAAATTTGTTCCAGAGTACGAATGCAGTCTGCAGTGGAAATTTCGGTTCTCCTCTGTACTGCGAGGGACAGTTAACCGGAATGCTGTCGTTTGGGGTGAACTGCGGCTTGCCGAATGATCCACCGGTTTTCACCCAGGTTCGGTACTTCAATCGCTGGATCGATGAGCAGATTCAAAGCCGAATGAAGCAATGAGGTGACAACGGAAGATTAGATAGGATTTCGTAAGATCAAGGAAAGATATGATCCCAGACTATTGAAAGAGTTTGATCAATTATCTGTATCTAATAGTTTTAAAGAATTCGAGTATCTTTATAATAGATGATCTTTTCACAGTTTCACCATTATGCTTAAATACAATAAAATAAACCGCTCTAGATACACTACATGCATTATTACCGTTACCCAGAGTCCTCAGTCTCACTCACTCAAGTATCGTAAGCACCTCTGGTGCAAAGGACCAACGTGAAAGACTTCCATCCTAGGCGGCTGCTGGCTTAACCTTGGTAAAATTCCTATCATCTTGCTTGATCTACTTGTTGAAACTCCACCACACTAAGCTCCTGCGACTGCATCTGCTACGATATCCTAGGTAATTCAACTCTGAACGCTTTTTAAAATTCAAATTACATTGGAACTTATTGTATAATTGACTTGGAGTTCTGGTCAAAACGCTACTGGAGTTCTTTCCATAGCTCCATAGGAATTTATCTCTGAAATACTTCCCCAGGGGTATTCAAAGCTTGTCCGAATTTGTGTAAATTAATAAATAGGATAATTAGTTTGCAACTTGGAGGCAAATTAGTTCAAGAACAGATTGCCAAATGTGATGTGATATGATTATAAGTCACCACCTGTGCAGGACTTGCCAATGCAAGCTGATCAAATTATTGTTGACAAATAAAATATCAAAATTAAACTAAATATTTTCGAAACCCAGGGACGAACCAGCCAACGGCTAAAAGCCTCTATAATAAAGAAATCAATAAATCAATATTTTCGAACCTGGAAGTGTGTATGTATAACCAATACCAATTTGATAACGGTGATGCATACATGCGGGGCTTATTGTGAGTGAAAGTAACCTCTAAATGGACGTGACTATCCAGACATTCTGAAGTAGGTCGCTGGATCTGCAATAAAGCTAGCACCTTCTAACTCCCGGACTAAAGCTGTCTACAATGACCATAAATGCGACATTGTAGAGAGAGTACTTCCATAATAACACTGCCGGCCAGTGGGGGTTAGAGGAAACACACACACACACGCACACATACATACACACACACACACACACACACACACACACACACACACACACACACACACACACACACACACACACACACACACACACACACACACACACACACACACACACACACACAGACACACACACACATACACACACAGACATACACACACACACACGCACACACACGCACATACAGACACACATACACACACACACGCACACACAAACACAAACACACGCACACACCACAGAGACGCTCACACACACACACATACACACACACACACATACACACACACACACACCCACACACACACACAACCCCTGGGGCAACGCATACCGAGTTGCGATGGCGAAGATCAGAGGCCCAACGATGCCGGTTGAAATGTGTCACAACAAGCTGAAAGTCATCGTGGAGGGACTTTTCCCACAGCATGACCCAACGAACTGGCCACCTACACCATATGGCGAGGTAGATGAAGACAACGTTGAACAAGTCTCCAACGAGGAACTCATAGCAGCAGCGAAAGGGTTGAAAGCGAATAAAGCTCCCGGCCCGGATGGAATTCCCAACGTGGCGTTGAAGGCGGCGATCCAGACGTTCCCGGACATGTTCAGGATGGTGCTGCAGAAATGTCTGGACGATGGTCAGTTCCCTGATAGGTGGAAGGTACAAAAGCTTGTGCTGTTGCAGAAGCCCGGAAAACCGCCGGGGAATCCTGCATCGTATAGGCCCATATGCTTGCTGGATACTGTAGGAAAGCTCTTAGAGAGGATCATCCTCAACAGGCTGACGAAATGCACGGAGAGTGAACACGGATTGTCGGAGAGACAGTTTGGATTCCGGAAAGGGAGATCGACGGTGGATGCAATTCGGACAGTGATTGACAGAGCCGAGAAAGCTTCCAAACAGAAGCGGAGAGGAAATCGATACTGCGCCGTGATTACGATCGATGTCAAGAATGCATTCAATAGCGCCAGCTGGGAGGCCATCGCCAAGGCGCTCCATAGAATGAGGGTTCCAGGCTACCTCTGCAGGATTCTAAGTAGTTATTTCCAGAACCGGGTCCTTGTCTACGTGACAGACACGGGGCAGAAATCGCTTAGAATCACGGCGGGGGTTCCCCAAGGCTCCATTCTAGGTCCTACGCTGTGGAACGGAATGTACAATGGCGTGCTGACGCTCAAGCTGCCCAAAGGAGTTGAGATCGTTGGCTTTGCGGACGATGTCGTCTTGACGGTAACCGGTGAGACGCTGGAAGAAGTGGAAATGTTGGCGGCTGAGGCGATAGATACGATTGGTAACTGGATGCAAGGAGCGAAGCTGCAGATAGCCCACCACAAAACAGAAGTGATGTTGGTCAGTAACTGCAAAGCAGTGCAGCGGGCAGAGATTACCGTTGGAGAGCACACCATTGCTTCGAAGCGCATGCTTAAGTA